TATTAACCTTGGGGGTTACTAACTTATCAACTGGGGCGATTTATTAAACAACTGTGGCAAGAAAAGTTGTAAAATGCAGCAAAACTCCCTTAACAAATGTTTCCCTTAATAACAGAAATTTTGGGCTCAATTGTGGTTGAGGACTATCTGTACTCTGTACAATGTCAGTCACTGAATGAGTGATGAAAACCCCAGGACTACCTATAATACTTTCTGGATAGCCTGAACTAGAAGCAATTTCTGGTCTAGACAACTGGCACCAAATAACAATTATATGGGGAAAGTAACAAGTCTTATACTTGTAGTTCTTTGCAAAAGACTATGAGAGACAGATGTAAATATCTGGAAGAAGAACCAACTGGGGAAAAAACTGGCAAAGTTCTATGTTTCAGGTCAGGGGTCCCAATGTGATACCTATGGATATTTCTTTAGCACCCTATACATCACTTTGTCCAGACTGTTTTTCATTCTTGCTTCAGTTCTCCCACTGCAAGATTAGGACTATGGAAACTGGCATTGTCACTTACTACCATAGCTTATACTGGTTTCAAACAAGGTGCACAATGCTATGCCTGGATAACACATTCTGTATTCATACAACAGCTTACATCCAGGTGGACCATGTTGTGGCTTAACTGTTAGGAATGATAGTCACCTAACAATTGGGTTGGCAATACATAAACCAGAATAGTCATTTAATACTGTTGTATCTTTAAGAGAATGTTGTAATTGTGATTGGCTGAGGTTCCTCCAAAGGCCATAAGATGGAGCTAGAAACCTGGTTTGTTCTTCTTGCATTTCCTTTTTGCCTTTTGCCTGAACATCATTCTGCTTGGATTGCTGTGAGTCTTGCAACTGTTCGCAAACTCCGTTTACTGAACTTTGTTTATGATAATGGTAAAGAAAAGAACTTCATTTTTGGATTATCCCTGGACTGATTGTTTTGAATACTAACTGCTTTAACTGTGTATGATTTGGACTGTTTGTTGGACTTCGTTTACCCATTTACTAGAAGTAAAAACTTACATTTTACTATTCAATGTATCTGTGTGCTGGTTGTGTGTTATTCATCACCACTCTTACTATGTTTCCCTGAGTGCACTCATTCTCCTAACGGGGAATACCTCAACAGTTACAGTCTGATCGACCCAATATGCTAAGATGAGGGCTGTATCCTCACAACATAGTGAACCACAATGTGTGCAGTTTGGTCCAATGCTAACCTTTGAACTTCAGAAGAGGATAATAAAAGATGAGAGGGACCCATCCTACCCAAGGTCACATGCTCTCATTGGCCCTTAAGCTTGGATCCTGACTAAATGAACTGATTCTGCAAAATACGTGACATCATTGTTGTTTTTTTAACCGAAAAACTTAATTAATAAAATGGGTTGGTTTTGTTCCTGCCAGAAACACTTACCTGGCCTGTTCTGCTTTTGTCAGCAAATCTCTAGCAAGGGTTAGGTTTTGCACAGTACAGTTCAGGATAACATCCACTCTGTTCAGCTGGCCAATTCTATCCAAGATCTCCTTAATCAGACTGTCGATCTCACTTTGGCTGATGGGCTGGGGAATGTTCAGGACCTGTTGAGCCACCAGCTCAATGCTCTCTGGATCAGCACCTTCCTCTAGAGAGACAAGCACAGGCCTTTGATGTCCACCTACTTTGCAAACTGTCCATTCTGCTTCCCAGTCACCAGCCTAGCCCTCCCCAAAACCAATTATTACAATATGAACATTGTCAGAATGCACTTTGCTTACTAACATCCTTATTTCCGTCCTGCATAGGATAAGGATGGGTGGAAGCTTTACAGAAGGAGATCAAAACTCAAAATAAGGAGGAATTTCTTGACTTTGAGAGTCCCTGGAATCATGGGAGCTTCATCACTGGAAGATTGAATAGCCATAAATCTGTAGAGACTAGAAGACCTCCAAGGTCCCTTCCAACTCTGTTATTCTATTCTATTCTATTCTATTCTATTCTATTCTATTCTATTCTATTCTATTCTATTCTATTCTAATTCTCTTCTAATTCTCTTCTCTTCTCTTCTCTTCTCTTCTCTTCTATTCTATTCTATTCCATTCCATTCTTTCCCTATCCTATTCTATTCTATTCTATTCTATTCTATTCTATTCTATTCTATTCTATTCTATTCTTTCCCTATTCTATTCTATTCTATTCTATTCTATTCTATTCTATTCTATTCCATTCCATTCCATTCCATTCCATTCCATTCTATTCTTTCCCTATTCTATTCTATTCCATTCCATTCCATTCCATTCCATTCCATTCCATTCCATTCTATTCTATTCTATTCTATTCTATTCTATTCTATTCTATTCTATTCTATTCTATTCCATTCCATTCCATTCCATTC